CCTCCATCTTCTGCAAAGATTTCCCGATCACCCATAGCAACCCTCTTTGGTCCGCTTATCCATACGGTCTTGCGTTGGGGTCAAAACCTTGAAAAGAGCTCTTCCAGATGGTTGATTGCACGAGTCCCTTTCGCTGTATCTGTTCCTTTGTTGAAATGCCATGTCTGCGAATTATTCATCCATGCTTCATGGCCAGCATATTTTTTTTTCAGCAAAAATCTGGATCATCTCGCCTTTGAGAGCGTGTAAATCTACCATCTTTTATCTTATGATGATTGTTGCATGGTATTTTTCCTCCGTCGTACGGGGTACCAGGTACGTGTACTTGTTGACAATGAAACGGAGTTGTTGGTGTTTTCAACATGAAAGTATTTGAAATTCTCTCCGTCATCGCTAATGTTGAAACGAAGGGTCGGCGTGCGCGCAAAGGTAGATTTTGTCGTAGATTTTGTCGTAAATTTTGTCGTAGGGTTGTCGTAATTTGTTGTAGGTTTGTCGTAATTTGTCGTAGCTTGTCGTAAGTTGTCGTGAATATTTTACGACAAAATTTACGACAAAAGACTTGTCGTTAATTGTAACTCCACTGTTTCGGAGAAATAAAACAATGTTTACGATTCTATGTACCGCAAAGTGATGGAGGAATTCGATGGAACAAAGTGGAGCTTGAATTCGATGTCTCCGTGCTGAGGGAGGAGGAAAGTCTGTCTGGCTCCCGTCACACTTTGGTTTCACTACAATCCGAGGCGTGTCTGAAAAGGAGCTTATCATAGTACATTGATATTATATCGGAGCGACGGCAGGACGCTAGGTAGATGACTTTTTCAAACTCAACCCATGAAGCATTTTTGCAACAGAGATTGCATGACATGGATCAAACCTTGAATTCTGGCTCAGCTACAGAAGAAACATCTTCAATAAAAGATGTTTCAACTCACGAGTTGAAGACAGCAAATCATGCATATGTGCTGGATCCGATTGATTCTTGGATACCATGTCAAGTAGTTGAACGCAAAACATCAACTGAAGTTGTTGTCAGCATACCCCAATATAGGAATCAGCAAGCAATCAAATGCGATGGAGGACGGAGTGCTTTGCGAAAGAAGAACAAAATAATTGATGTCAGCAAGTATTCCAATCAAGCATTGCCACTTCAAAACGTGGACGAAGATGGGAGATTGAAGCAAGTAGAAGACATGGTGGACTTACCTTATCTGCACGAAGTAAGTAGGCTTGGAATATTTTTCTTGCAACCAACCTTGCTCATAGTGTTTATATGTAGGCGGCTATCCTTTACAACTTGAAAGAACGTCATATTAAGTCTCTCCCATATACAAGAACTGGTGATATTGTACTTGCATGCAATCCTTATCAATGGTTTCATGATCTGTATAGCTGGAAACAGCACCAACAGTACGCGCATGTTTTGGTTTGGAATGATACCTCCTTGGGTAGTAGTGATATTGCAGTTGATCCGCGAACCTTGCTCAGGCCTCATGTCTATGAGGCATCTTGTTTGGCGTACAAGGGACTCCTGCGAAATGGGGAGGACCAGTCAATTCTTGTGTCTGGGGAATCGGGAGCCGGGAAAACTGAGACTGTAAAAATTTTGCTTGGCGACTTGGCGAGTGTTCAAAGAGGCCCAACTGCGAACTCGGAAGCCAACGATAACGAAATTGTGCAAAGAGTCCTAGATTCCAACCCACTTTTGGAGGCTTTTGGAAATGCACAAACTTTACGGAACGACAACTCTAGTCGATTCGGAAAATTTTTGCAGCTTCAATTTGATCGTCAGCCAGGACAATGTGTCCTCGCCGGTAGCAAATGCGAGGTTTACTTGCTAGAAAAGTCACGAGTCACATTACATCACCCTGAAGAACGAACATATCACGTCTTTTACCAACTACTTGCTGCACCAGAAGATGTGAAGCGGGAGATCTGGGAAGGCTTTCAAGACAGTGACGCTGAATCATTTGATTATATCGGTTGGTCTGAAACTGATAAAATCGAAGGCAAAACGGATGCGGAGCGCTTTCAGATGACAGTCGATGCATTGAAGCTGGTTGGAATCGAAGGTGACACATTGCGAACCTTATGGAGAACAATATGTACCGTTCTTCAGCTCGGTAATCTAGAATTCGAGCCGACATCTGACGATGAATGCCGAGTTGCTTCTATTGAGGAGTTGGACGATCTAAGCAGTCTCATGGGCGTCCCAACCAGCGACCTGTCAAGGGCATTTACTATTCGCAACATCAAGGCCAAATCAGAAAATTTTCAAGTCTTTATGACCGCTGAGAAGGCACAAGAGTCCGCTGATGCCTTTGCCAAAGAAATTTATGCCAAGACGTTTCTCTGGCTTGTCCGATCTATCAACAACGCAACTTGCGCGGAGAAGAACTACAAGCACAGCGAAGGTAGAGACTTTGGGATAGTTGGACTCTTGGATATCTTTGGGTTCGAATCTTTCGAAGTCAATCGGTTTGAGCAGTTGTGTATTAACTATGCTAACGAAAAGCTGCAACAGAAGTTCACTCAAGATATCTTTAGCAGTGTGCAGGAGGAATATGAAGCCGAAGGAATCGAGTTGGAAGAAATAACTTATGATGATAACACAGATGTATTGGACCTTGTGGAGGGGAAAATGGGGCTGCTTGCATTCTTAAACGAGGAATGCATGCGTCCGAAAGGATCTGACAAGACGTTTGTGTACAAAGCCCAGGCCTCAAACATGTCAAACCCCTGTTTTTTTCGAGACAAACATGCCCCAGACTGTGAATTTGGAATTCGTCATTATGCAGGAGAGGTGGTTTATGATGCAGCAAACTTTGTTGTAAAGAACAGTGACACACTACCCTCTGATCTTTTACAATGCGCCGCATTGTCACCGAACTACATCATTGCCAATGAGTTGAACAACGATTCAATGACAAGCATGGGTAACCGCCCTGACTCCAAAATGAAACGACGGAAGCAACGAACCAGCCTACTCTCAAGCAAGCAAATGACGAGAAAGAATTCCAATATTGCTGCCGAGACTGTTTGGACGAAGTTCAGAAGCCAGCTTGGACGCCTCATGGACTCTTTGAGTAGCACTCAGACGCGCTATATTCGTTGCATCAAGCCAAACGCAGAAAAGAGACCATTCGTCATGGAACATGAAACGACTATCAACCAGTTGAGATACGCTGGTGTTGTCGCCGCTGTCACTATTTCTCGGTCCGCTTTTCCCAATAGATTGGAGCATTTGGTTGTGTTGGAAAAATTCAAGAGTTTGTTTCCAAAGGGTAACCACATTAAAGTTCTCAATGACCAGCACCAGGATCCCGAGGAGCGCATCTTCTCGGCGGTTGAAATTCTCCTCACAATTGCTCTAGAAAAAATGGAGATAAAGCGCAATGATACAACATTCCGCGCCTTCGTAATGGGCAAAAGCAGGGCGTATTTCCGTGCTGGAGCTCTGGAATTCTTGGAGGGAGAACGACTGAGGTATCTTGGTGATTTCGCAATTGTCTTACAGACGAAGGCGAGAAGTTTTGTCGCGCGGTCGAAATATCGGAAGTTCAAGCAAGCAACAGTCTCCCTCCAATCTAATCATCGTCGTCGTATGGATCAGAGAGACTATCACATGGCCAGAAAGTGTTTGATTAAAATACAATGTTGGTATCGCATCCTCTGTGCAGCTCGAACAATTGTACATCTTAGGAGAAAGAAGAGCGCCACCATCATTCAATCGAACTGGCGCTGCTACATAGATAATCGGCAGTTCAGCATTATGAAGAGATGTTCTGTTGTCATCCAAACAGTGCTGCGAGGAGCCATTCAACGACCGAAGTACCGAGAATCTTTGTTGAACAAACGAGAGGAAGCGAAGCTCGAGAACCGATTGGTCGCGCTGCAGCGAAAGTTGGAAGAAGCCGAAGTGAAGCGTGTAGAGGCGGAGAAAAGGGCAGAGGGTAAAGCAGCTGCCGCAGTTGAACAGTACAAAGAAGAACAAGAAAGCAAGACCCCTCTTTCTAGTGCGGTGGTTGAAGATGGCTCTAATACAGAGAAAGTAACTGAGCAGCCACTTGCTCATGGGGCCCCAGTGGCAATGGCCAACAGCGGAAGTATCGACGAAGAAAGTGTTGAGCAGCAAAAGCTGATGGACGAGAGCGGACGAATGCTTGAATATCTCAGAAAAGAAGTTTTTAAATTACGGAGCCACAACCAACAGCTCCGAACGGATTTTGACTTGCTAAAGGATAACAACCAGCGGCTGATGGATGCAAATGCGTCTGCTGGGGCATCATTCGCTGCGTTGAACCAGCATGCTAAGCAACTTAGCAAAGAAAATGCCCAACTGGTGAGCGAAGTTTCATCCACAAAGGCACAAATGCAAAAGATTCACATGCTGCAAACAGAGCTCAAGGAGGAGCTGAGAATGAAGCAACTGTCTTATGTTAGCGAAGTTCAGTCAAGATTCCAATACCAAAAGGCTTTGCAGAAAGTTGCTGATCTGATTGAAGCAAGCTGTAGGGACTACAGACTGGTGCAGCAAGTGCTGGAAATTACTGATGAGGTCGAAATGGAACATATGACTGCAGGCGGCAATGTTACATCACATGAAAACGGCAATGAGCATGGACCTGGAGAGCCACGATCAAGCATTTTCTCATACTTGAACCCGTTTTCATCATGATTTCTTCACTGGTTCGAAAGTGAGTGTATTCTTTGAGTTTCAGAAGCACTTGCTCAAGTGCTGGCGGACTGCAGGAATGAACATGTCGCATGAATTAGCTTCAACCTATTTTAAATCGCGATTAGCGAAGTTTGGATGTGTAATCATTTGGATCGAACCATGATATTCGGAAGTCGTCTGTTTGTCCATCAGATGATAGCATTGCTGAACGTCTGCACCCCAACGGCTACCGTATTCAAGTATCTTGCGTAAGGTGACTGACTTGACTGCCGAGTCCCGAGCAGATATATTAGAGCGATCGAAGGCCAACGGTCCTCGCCAATCTCAAGCCCAAGATCAATCATCTATCATCTACACACAGCTGCTTCAGACCCCCGTAAATACACCCCAATAGCAATATCAATCACCGTCTATCATGCCCAGCAGTAGCTACATCAATGCACTAGTACGCTCTCTCTACGATGAGAGTCAGGAGCCCCACGTTGTCACGTTAAGTGGAAGCCAGCCCGAAATTCGAAGCCCCCATGCATTCGATTCGCATAAAACTCAGAAATCAAAAATCAAAAACTAAAAGGTAGAAGATTATTTTCCATGCACAGCACCAAAACAAAACTGTACCAGTCCTACGCGTTTTCTACGTAAAGGAAAACAGTTGTTGTTGCTGAAACAGGAAAGAAATTTACTTTAACATGAAGGATAACATCGTCAACCCGCCGGAGAAGGATCCGAATTTGATCATGACTGTAGCTGACCAAGGTCAGGGAGGTCTCGAGGCAAAAACCCGATCAAATTTGACCACTCAATCGTCGATTGCTCTAACAAAGGATAATCCTGCCATCACGACTCCCAAGCGCAGCAGCAAGCGAAACCCTTCAGAAACCGCCGAGGATGGCGCAATGAAAGGCCGCTCGCTCTTCCCATCTGCAGTTCCCCAAGTTCAGGACGTCGCGGTCAACACTCGCCCAAATCCGACCACTCCTTTGTCAATTGAGTTAACTAAGGACAATCCGCCTGATCCCACGACTTCAAAGAGCCAACGCAAGCATCCCCCTCCTTCCAAAACCGCCGAGGATGGCGCAGTGCAAGGATGATCGCTCGTTGCCTACATCACAAAACTCAAGGTGTCAACGTTTCACAGGCTCTACAAGAAGGCTTGGGGACAGGAGATGTTTGCTCTTGCAACGGCCCAACGCATTATTGTTGGGATATGACGAAATATGAGTTTTTACGTTCCAAACGAAACTATTCAAGTACGAGGTTTTCGACACGTGCGATCGGAATTTGATCGTGCAAGATGTCAGAGAGTTTGTTCTGAGCGCTAAAAGCACTCACGATAGAGCACATTTTGCTTTATTCTAACAATTTGTTTTTCAAGCTAAATAATTTTTGTGTGTCCGTTAAAATGCTCTGCGACTTTGGATCCTTGCGATTGCAATGTTGGTGATTTGTGTGTCGGTGTACACCCAAACTGCAGTGCAGGGAGAAACTCCGAAGTGGTGTTTCAAATGGAAGACATTCGTCTTCCCCCTTGGCACGCTTGATTCCCCTTTCGCTGTAGTCCTTCAGAGCAAGGCCAGATTCCATCATCTCCGATGGAGTAACGAGATGGTTGATGGGCGGCTCGTCCATGAAAGAGACTGATTTGATGATAATATGCGGAGTGTTGGGATATGACAAATATGAGTTTTTACGTTCCAAACGAAACTATTCAAGTACGAGGTTTTCGACACGTGCGATCGGACTTTGATCGTGCGTGATGTCGGGATTCGACACAAGTATGCCGGACGCGAGTCTGTTGGACAATCTGTATCCACACAAACAGGAAAAGATCCTGTACAAGTGGAATATCGATGTTGTGTACGATGCAGTGGGGAATTATGCAAGATATCCCAAAGTACTGCATTCAACACAGAATTG